GTGCGCTGGGGGCCCGACCGCTTGCGCTGCAACTTCGGGGAGAGGGCTGTCCGCGCCCCCAGCATCGCTCGCTTGGATTTGCTTGGTCTCCTTTCCCTCCTAGCCAGCGGGCTGGCGTCACCCGGTACTAGTCAGTTTGGCGAAAGGAGAGGTGGGTTTAGAAGGGAAGGAGCGGTTTTCGCAGGGTTGACAGCAGGGCTCCGGAGTCACTGGGGCTGGAGGTTCCAGTCCCCGCCTCCCTGCTTGCCAGCCGTGGGGCCTTGGCCTCTGGGTTCAATGGGAATGATGATGAGCCCAGGCTAAAGGTTGCAGCGAGGATGGGAGGAGCTGATTAGGGTGCATAGCAGTGCCTCCAGCGAGGCTGAGTATGCTACACGTGAGCTGTCATCATTGTTGGGGTGCCCTTGTGCCTTGAAGATGCCTTGAGGAAGTGAAAAAAGGCAGGGCTGTCAGGCACCTGGTAACCTTAAACCGTTGTATTCAAGTTATCCATTTATGGGGCAGTAAAATTACCTCTGGGTGGTTGTGTGTGAGTTATGCCCAAGTCTTTTCCTCGGCTTAGATTGAACGTCTGGGCTGGCTGGCAGCTGGGCCCTAACTTTTTCTTTAAGGCTGTTTCCTCTGGAAGGATCTACACAGCCTGGCCTTCCTCCTTGATAGGCAGGTGTTTCCTAGATTCACAGACTGCTTCTGCCTTCTTAGCTGTGTGGCTTTAGGCAGGTGCAATACAGGCGAAGGCTCCAGTCTCCCTTCAGTGCCTGAGCATCAGGTGACAGCGCGGTCACTACCTGAGCCACTTCCTTCTCCAGTGCGGGAGAAGAGGTGGAGGCCCTCAGAGCTGCTTCTCTTTGAGTCTTTCCGAAAGATTGTCTTCATTGGGGCCAAGAATGGGGTGTAAGATGTATTATGTCATTTTTTTTATTTTTTGGAGGAAGCACCTGCACCCCTCCCCCCCATTAAAAAAAAGTGATTTCCTGCCAGATGTGTACCAGTCGCCAACGAAGCGTGCGTGGACATAATCACTGGAGGGTTTTAGTTTTGTTTCCATAAAAGCTGCTTAACATATGGATGTAATTTTAAAATACCAGTGAAGATTGATAGTCGAAGGGTACCTTGGTCTTGAGTAGCTCAGGCCGTGGTGATAATAGGGAATATTGATTGAGCATTTAGAATGTGCTTCGCTGTGCGTTGCACTTTACTTGCATTGTTTCTATCAGCCGACAGCCACCCGTGACGGAGGCATTGTTGTTTGCCCACTTTACAGATGAGAAAACTGAGTCCTTTCTTTGCTCAAGGTCCTATGGCTAATAGGTGGAGGAGCTGATTCAGCCCCTGGTCTTCTGTTTACCCTGACTGGGCTCTCTGCGGCCCTCCCTGGGCCCCTTTAGTTCTGTTGTGTGTCTTGTACCCACAGTTTATTTGGGACACTGAAGAATTTAAAAGTTTTAGGTGCCTTTCCGTTACAGCATTTATAAAGAAATAATGTATTGTGTGCCTGCCGTGTATCTGGCTCTTTTCTGTAACTGGAGCCAAAGAAAGGATCATTAAGATAAGCTCTTGGTCTGCAAATAGCTTGACTCATAATAGATAAGAGTAATAATTAACCTAGAGTGCCTGTAGATGTACACACTTAATGCTCTGTGTATATTGTACAGGAATTAATTTAAGAGAAGGTAGATGTATTTAACAGTTGAACATGCAGTATCCCATGATGACGGCTCTTTGAGCCTGAGCCCCAAGCAGGGGACACATCAGACAAGGAAGGCCAGGTGTGCCCGCAGCAGAGACCGGAGAGCTGAGATAAGCCTGGATTTTCATGGTGGGCTGTGTGGACACATGGAAATAAGGGGTGAACACCAAGACTTGGCTTCACTGAAATGATGTGACTGGGGTCAGGCACCCCACTCGGTCACTGCCCTTGCCCTCGGTGAACTTGGTTTCACTCAGAAATCAAGCCCAGCATCACAGGCATCAGAAAGTCACTGAATGTTTAGGCTTGCAGACTTACAAAGGCCAAGTCCACCACGCTGGCTTGTTTTAGACATACACTCCAGCAGGTTGTTAGAAGGAATGTTTGCTACTCCCCCCCCCCCCCTTACCCTCCCAGACTGTTCAGCATTAACCCAGAAAGATGCTGTAGATTTCCTACCGAACACCCTCTGGCACAGTGTTTGGAGGAAAATCTTTGGAAAATTCCCATTACTGAGCTATGGAAACCAGCCTGAAGGTCACCACTCTGTAGCTAAGCCCAAAGCCCCCTCCAAGTGTCCGGGAAGGAGCATGAGCCATGCTTCTCCTTTGATGATGCATGTCAGATGTTCCATGAGTGTGCAGTTTTCTCTGCCTGCTCACTTCTCCCTTCTTACCCTTCTCAGATCTCTGGCCAGACATTTCCTCCGCTGAGACCTTCTCCAATTCCTCTGAGGCTTAGTCAGCCCCTCTGGTACGCACACACCCAACAGCACCCCCACATTTGCGGCTTCCTGTTACGGGAACGATGCCTTTTCCCCAACAAGACAGGACCACGTCTGTGCTCTAAAGTATATCCCCATGTCCTAGCACGCAACCTGGCGCATGAGACATCGAGTACACAGTCAGCGATGAGTCTTCTCAGCCGTGCCAACATGTTAAGTGTTTGCCTTTCAATGGAGCCATTTTGCTAAGCGTTCTTTTTTTGTTTGTTTTTTGTTTTTTTTAATACAGTGGTCACATCGTTTTATCATCATACAGCCTAGATCCAGCCTCTAAGATTAGCGATATCAAAAGGCTCAAGGCTTATACACCACATGGTGAAGTTAGTGTCTTTTTCTGATGGATCGTGCATAACTTGAACTTGCTCATTTTGAAAATATTTCAGTGCTTTGCTAAATACCAAGCCACATTGAAAGGTAATTAAGTCTGTATGAAGGAAATGAAATAAAAACTATTGAGCACCTCTGTGCACCCGGATTAACCCTTCTCTCTGAGGATAGGGTTTTATCTCTTGATTTCGAGAAACATTTTTTGAGTCCTGATCTGAAAAATCTAACTGCCTCTGAACTGGAAACACGTTGGTGGTGGGGGGCCTTCGTGATGTGTTGAGAAACAGCATGGCCATCTGACTTCTCAAGGTCATTGTAGAGATCTGGGCGGACTCCCCCTCCATCTCTCCTCACTGTCCAGCTCAGCCCTAAGGGAAGCTGGAACGTGACATGATAATGCCACGTAGAGCTCCAGGCCGCTAGGTGTGCTTTGCCATCTTGGACACGTCCCCCTAAGCTGGATTCCTTCCCCCCACCTTCCAAAAGGCATTACTTGTGCTCTGGGACACAGTACGTTCTGCCAAATCAATGTCAAGTTATTAACCGTCCTCAGCCTCAGCTTCCTCATCTGGCAAACATCCCGAGTGAGCCCAGCAGAAATGCAGACGTGCATCTGCCGATCGTGTTGTGCTCTGTGCAGTCGCTCAGAGACGGAGGCGAGTAGACTTAGGGTCCTGGAGGAGGGGTGCCTTCGTTCTGGAGAGCCGATCCCTTCACGGGGAAGGAAACGGGACTTGATTTAGGGCAAAGGACTCGAAAGCAGGCTCTGCTTCCGACCAGCTGCATCACTTCTAGCAAACTCTCCTCCCAGATTATCATTCAATTCATGTTTATTTAGGAAGCACCTCTGTGTGCCAGGAGCCTGTGCCGTGATGAACTTACATTGTCGTGTTTGAGCCAAGCAGTAAGCAGAGTGCAAAAAAAAAGGACAAACGCAGGGCTGTAAAGGGAATAGGAATTGGGGTGGGGGTGGCGGGGAGGGTGGAATGGAGGCTGGTGGGATAGGAGTAATCCAGGAGGACATTTCTGCAGAGGTGCCATTTACGCTGAATTCTGAAGATTGAGAAGTAGCCAGCTGGGCAAAGAGGGTTTATCCAGCAACCATGTGGGTGCTGACTTCTAGAAAGAGAACCAACCCTGAGTCCAGACAGAACCTGAGATCAGCAGAGTGTGCCCAAGGGAGCTGGGAGCTAAATGGTGAGGGGTGGTCTCCGGAGTGCCTGTTGCTGGTTAAAGGTCTGATTCCTACTATTTACTAGTTATGTGGCCTGGGACAAGTTATTAGCCTTTCTCAGACTCAGCTTTCTCATCTGTCAAAAGGCAATTATTGCTCTGTCCAGGTAGCTCAGTTGGTTAGAGTATCGTGCTGATATACCAAGGTTGCGGGTTTGATCCCCGGTCAGGGCACATACAAGAATCAACCGATGAATGCTTAAGTGGAACAACAAATGGATCTCTCTCTCCTCTCTCCTCCCTCCCTCTCTCTCTCCCTTCCTCTCTCTAAAATCAATCAAAAAATATTTTTTTAAAAAAGCAATTATCAAAAAACTGACCTAACAGCGTTTATTGGCAGTATTTAAAAAAAGAGATAATGCTGCTAAAACAACATTAAATGTGAATTTCTATTCTTATATTGTTATTTTTACTTCTTAGAGGGAGTGGTAGGTGAGTAGGAGATCTTATCGGCTGATAGTTTTCCTAGGTCAGGAGTCAGTGCACCTATTTTGTAAAGGGCCAGGTAGTGAATATTTTCGGCTTACGGGCCATATTATCTCTTGCCACAATTGCTCAACTCTGATTGTGGTGGGAAAAGCAGCCACAGACAGATCATCAGTGAATGGTATGGCTGTGTTCCAATAAAACTTTACTTACAAAAACTGGTGGCGGGCCATAGTTTGAAGGGCCTTAAAGTCAAAGGAGTGGGGTTAAATTTGAAATTGTATATTCTAGGGATCTCTTAAAAACGATCGAGCACCAGACAGATTTGAGGAAATCTGTTCTGGGAAAACCATGGGAAATCCTGTGAAGCAGAAAGAGAGTTTTATACTGCAGGTTGCTCCTTTTTTTGAACTGGGTTTGAGCGATACCTGGCAAAGGATAAGCACCTTATCACCTGTCAGGAATTCAGGGGAGTTTCTTGTTAAAAACCTTAACGTCCCTTCCACAGCTTCTCTTACACAAGGAACACTGAACAAAATCATGGATGCTGGATTACTAGTAGAAGCTCCCTGAGGACAAGGACTTGGTGCTCTTCCCCACTGTGTACCGTCTCTGGAACAATGCATGGAATAGAGTTAGCATTCAGGCATTTGAATGAATTGATGGGGCAGGAGCGCAGCCCAGGAGCCTCCGTGTGCATGAGTGCTTAGCTCTAAGCTTCAGTAAAAACCTCGTCACTGACTGAGCGTTATTTAAAAACCTCACACTGGATACCAATTTTCTGTTTTGTTTTTCTCCTCCCAGATGGCAGACGATCAAAACTCTGTCGATCAAAACTCTGTCAGGGACCAGGGAGCTGGGGAGTCAGCAAGCGAAGATGCAATTGATGCTAAGCCAGATCGGTCCACCGTTAGGTCCTTAATCCAGAGGTAAGTTCCTTCCTGGCTGGATTAATCAGGGGCCTGGGCCGCTTCTCTGCTTTTTCCACCCACCCACGGGGAGGGGGATACTCAGGGGAGAGGGTTTACGCTGTGCAGGGGAGGTTTGCACAGGGTCCTGCTGGCTCTGTGACTAGGTTCCCCCGTGTACTCCTGTGTTGCTGGGACAACCCCAGGTGTGGGAGAAAAGCAAGCCATGGAGTCTCCTGCCCAGAGGCTGTGTGTCTGGGTGGGAGCTGCCCAGGATTGAGGGGCTACACTGGCCAGAGGTGACTTGCAGCCACAGTCATTGGGCATAGAACCTGGGCTCACCCCCACCCTGTGCCTTCAGAGGCGCTCCACTGAAAGGGCAGCGTCCTGTCTACTGAGTCCCACTTTTTCCCTGACTGAGTTTACTTGTAAATTCTCAATCTCACATTTAATATTAATAATAATCACTTTGTGTATTAAACTCTTGTACGCCAGCTCAGTATTGCATGCAGTCCTTATAACCCCAGGAAATGGTTGTATTGCTATCACCATTTAATGGGTAGGAAAACTGAGGTGCTAAGAGGTCTAATAGCTTGCCTTTCTGAAGACAGTTAAAAATGGAAGAGCTGAGATTAGAACCCAGGTGGTGCCAGGTTCACCCACCCATTTCATGGCTCCGCTCTGCTTCCCATTTAGAAGTAGGGCTAGAAACGTGGAGGGAGCCTCAGACCTCACCTTAACCCTGGTCTCAGCGGGGGCGGGTGAGTGGGGCTTCCTGAAAGAGACGGGAGCAGTCTGTGGGTCAGAAGCATCAGACTTCTTGATAGCTCCTAAGCCAAGCCCACCTGGGAGAGACAGCCGGGGCGGGGGCGGGAGGTGGAGGATTATAGTTGAGGTTAGGGGGGCTCCCAGGCAGCACTCAGGATGGGAAGAGCTGGTGAGGAGGGGCAGCCTGGCTCCCTGAAACATCCTGGAGAGCTTCGGGTCATACCATCCCAGATAAAACTCAGAAAAGTGGGAAGACCCTAGCATCCTGGACCTGAATTCCATTGGCATTTACTGGCTGCCATTTAGGGTCAAGAACACCCAATGAAATGGCCAAAAAATAAAGTTCCAGCTCCTGAAAATTTTAAAGGCATATATATGGTCAGTTGGTCCAGGCTAAACTATTATAAGCCCAATAGAGCAGTGGCTTTCGAATGTTTTTGCTTACAGACCCCACCCTACCAAATAATGTCAGGCTACACATCCCCCTCATACATTTTTAAGATGATACCTAAATTTCTTGTCAAAATAGTTACAAAAATGTAATATTTCAGTTTTCCAACTCTTGAGTATTTGGGTTAAGCAGATTGGTTTCAAAGTGAAAGAGGAACAGAAATCAAGTAATAATCATTTTATGAGTCTTAGCATATGAGTCTTTTGATGTACTTTCCAGAAACTATGAAAATGAATAGTGTATTGTAAATATTGACATTTAAAAATAACTCCTTTAAACCTATCCAGTGGAATCTAAATTCATACTATTAATTTCTCGTGGATTAAGTTACTGTTCCAGCTATGAATTCACAGTTGATCTAAACAAATAAATGTTGATAAATCATTAGCATTATTGTCAACATAAGAAATGTCCAAACCTGTGGATAATTTTTATAAGTTCATTTGGGGCAAATTGATGACTGATGCCAGGGAGCAAGATCTCAAATGCTCTGGAGAATAACAGTTTTTCAGTTTCTCTTCTGCATTTGACATTAAGGAAGGAAATACATGGAGGTGGGAGAAAGCAAGGCAAGGATTAGATTATGGACAGTTAACGTTATGTGCTCTCTTGAGGGTTAATACCCCCTCCAAGGGGTATTACTTCTGGCATTTCAAAGGTGCGTTAACTTAGATACACAAGAACAATGGAAGGTCTGGCTTAAAATTAAGGAAGTCACAGGCCTGGAGACTTCCAGTCAAGGTGATGGTTAAGGTAGATGTGATACTCTGAACCTCCCACAACCACATCAAAATTACACCTCAACTACAAACAACTATCATTCAGAACCACCTGAAATCTAGCTGAACAGAAGTCCTACAATTAAGGATATAAAGAAGAAGCCACATTGAACTGGTAGGTGGGGCAGAGACCCGGAACCAGCTGGTCCCACACCTACTGGTATGTGTGGTGGTGAAGAATTAGCAGGATAACTTGGCTAGAAGGTCCCCCTTGAGGGGCGAGGGCTCCCAGCCCTACACGGGGCTCCCCAGCCTGGATCACCAGTGCAGGAAGAGGAGTCCCCACATCATCTGGCTGTGAAAATCAGTGGAGATTCTGGGTGAGACGGAGGGCTGCTCAAATCCCAGGCATCCTTGAAAAGGCCCCAGAGTAGGGACAGTAGCTCGAAAGCACAAGGACATACCTGGAGGAACTGAATTACCTGGCTGTGGTCGAGACTGGCAGCTCTCTGGGGCAGGGCAGGCACCATTGTTTCTTTGTTGAGCCCTCTCCCACCCAGCTTGCTTGTCTGAGTCTCTGTTAGCCAGGGTAACACTGGTCTCGCTCCCCCTCCAATTCATTCACAGGCCTGAACCTCTTTCCACTGCTTTTCTTCACAAGCGGCTGACCTGAGCCTGTGCTGAGGACTTCCGTAAAAATCTCTGAAAAGTACCCAAACAGGCAGTGTCTACTTCAGCATGCCCTGTACCTCTTGCCAAGTGGCCCCAAACTTGGCACCAGTAGTAGCTGGCCTCGGTTGGCAGCATAGCCTCTCTCAGGTGCCTACAAACCCAGCACAGGCAGCTACCAACCGCAGATCACTTTGTAGCTCCGACCAAGTGACTCCGGGCACAGGCCTCAGCTGACCTTGGCCACCAGGCTAGTATTATAAGAAATGTTAAAGGGTCTTCTTTAACCCCTTCCCCAACAATTTTTTTGTTAAAAACGTTTCTTTTTCAGACTAATTTTTTTATTTTGGTTCTATATAGTATTTTTGATGCTGGTTATGAAAACAGTTTGTAACTCGTCTTCCTATAAACCATATTTTTTTACCATATTTTCTTAGTATACTCGTCAACGACTGAAAAAGAACATTTTGTGAAAACGAGTATACACGTTTCTGCCGGGGAAGGGGTTAAGAAGAAAATATGTATAATAAAATGGCAATAACTACATACCTGTCAATAATTACTATAAATGTAAATGGAATTTATGCTCCAATCAAAAGATAGGGTGCCTGAGTGGGTAAGAAAACACACCTCATACTTATGCTGCCTACATGAGACTCGCTTCATATCGAAAGACACACAGACTGAAAGTGAGGTGGTGGAGAAAGATAGTTCATGAAAATGAAAATGGAAAAAAAAAGCTGAGTTAGCAATACTTATACCTGACAAGTAGATTTTAAAACAAACACTCAGCAATTCCACTAGACTTGCTTCATATCGAAAGACACACACAGACTGAGAGTGAAGTGGTGGAGAAAGATAGTTCATGAAAATGAAATGAAAAAAAAAAAAAAAAGCTGAGCTAGCAATACTTATACCAGATAAGTAGATTTTAAAACAAACACTCAGCAATTCCACTTTGGGGTATTTATCTGAAGAAACCCAAAACACTCATTTGAAAAGACATGTGCATCCTATGTTCATTGCAGCTTTATTTACAATAGCCAAGATATGGAAACCTACATTTCCATCGATAGGCAAGTGGATAAAGAAGATGTGGTACGTATATACAATGGAAGTATTACTCAGCCATAATAAAAGAATGGAAGCTTGCCATCAGCAATACATGGATGAATCTAGAGGGTGTTATGCTAAGTGAAATAAGTCAGACCGAGAAAGACACTTACCATATGATCTCATTTAGATGTGGAATCTAAAAAAACAAAGGAACAAACAAAACAGAAACAAATTCATAGATACAGAATCTCTCAGCAATTCCACTAGACTTGCTTCATATCGAAAGACACACACAGACTGAAAGTGAAGCCCAGAATCTCTGTATCTATGAATTTGTTTCTGTTTTGTTTGTTCCTTTGTTTTTTTAGATTCCACATCTAAATGAGATCATATGGTATGTGGGAGGGGTGTTTGGGGAATGAGTAAAAAAGGGGAACGAGTTAAGATGTGCAAATTGCCAGTTATAAAAATGGTCACAGGGGTAAAGTTCAATACAGTCAATAATATTATAGTAACTGTGTATAGTGCCAGGTGGGTTCTAACCTTATTGGGGTGATCTTTTCATAAGTTGTATAAATGTCTAATCACTATATTGTACACCTGAAAGGAATGCAATATGGTATATCAACTATAATTGAAAAAATACAAAATTATTAAAAACAAAAAAGTGATAGGCCTGGGGCGTGATTACCCACCGTGACCTGCCCAGTTTGGAATTTATGATCTGATCACCCTGTGAAATTACTTCCCATAGAATCCCTTTTATTCATCCACATTGTTAAGTTGTTAGTCACCAAAGTAATTGCTAAGTGGAAATTGTGTTGAAATTGCAACCTGTAATGGAATGGGTTGGCCTTAAAAGTTAGCTTATGAATAAGTGGACAAATAGTACTTATCGCTAGAAAGAAAGATATTTAGTATCATCTTTTTCCTATTTTTTTTTATTTTTAGCTCTGAGGAGCCATGAATAAATGCATGGGGTGGGCAGGAGTTTTGTTCAACTGATGTCATTACTTCTTTGAATTCCTTCCAAGTTCTGTGTCAAAAAATGACAACTCATTTAGGTCCTTCTTCAGTTGTTTTGAAAATTAAGAATTGGGAATTACCTGACTTTCAAAGAATTGTTATTCAGCCCTTAGAGACACTTATATTTTCAGTTTCTGGGACAAACACTAAAGAGGCTTTATCAAAACTTCTCTAATACCCGTTAATCAACCCTGTTCCTCTTTTCCTTAGAAGCAACTTGTCTAGCCCAAACCCTCAACAGAGATACGTTAGTTTAAAAAGCATTAACGAACATTTGTTAGTATCCTTGTTTTTTCTTCTTGGAAAATGCTTTTAGACCATATGCTTTAAAA